GTTCCGACGCAGATACGGTGGTTCCAGGTGGTCGTCTGTACAAAGCGAAACTGGAACGGTCCAACAGTCGATACAGCGACAAAGTCAGAGTCCAGTGATAAAATACCGGCTATCTGGCTATCTAACGTGTAGCACAGATTCAGCCGAGCCGTAGAGCAATATAGCACTACTGCACCTAAGTGTCGTAGGCAGTACGATGGCTCCTACGTCAAAAGTTCTTTGGCGTGACCTCAACGGTCGATCTTGGCCTTGCAGAGGTGACCTTCACGTTCGTTCTCAAGATGCCGGGCAGGCGATATCTCTTCAGTACGGCTTCGACAGGACGGTTTTCTTCCCTTCAACAACTGTAGCCTTCTCGATACCGAACTACAGGCTTCAATACGATGCCCCAACGTATGGGCGTTTACAAATAACAAATATCTCGTTACCTCCTAGGTCTACGAGTCCAGGATCTCACTGGCTTTCCTTCGCCGACGTGGCTGTACAATCAGGGTCTAGCTGCAGACTGGGCCGATGACGTCAACTTCTGCCTCCTCCTAACAGAGGGCTTCTATCCTTCTGGATGTTGATGCCAGTAAGCTCCGAGTCTGGGGTCGCCAAGTTGTTAAGGCCTCCGCGCGGTGTTGATTTTTTGAAATATAACTAGTGTAGATCTTCGTCTGACTGGAAGTAACACTGAACTCAAACTACTTCAGTAACACCGGCGAAAGGCCGAAACAATCAAAATATGTAGTCGACGCTGATGTTGTTCTACAAATATATTTAATAATCAAAAAGGGAATCGTCCGATGTCAGCTATGTCCGTAAATTTGTATATCTGTTCTACTGTTCTACACGAAGCGTCTTCTTTGTAGCGTCACTTAGAGCGTTCTTGTTTTTTAAAGATCTGTCACGTGACTTGTCGCTAAGTAAAACTTTCCCCTTATTCCCGAAACAAATACTAACTTCTAATCATGTCATAACAATTGTACACTATGCTCTAAATAAATAACTATATAAATTAATTACAAACTCTGAATGTGTGCTTTTTAGCTTCTCTAAATATGAATGAATATTATCTCTGACCATTTTTATCGCCACTAAGAAGTTGATAAAGCCGAAGAAAAAAAAAAGAACTTGCTGGAATCACCTGGTAGTAGATCTGTAGACTGGTTTGAATGAATCGTTGACAAGTGAGGACAAATGACTGTAAATGTCGAGTTCAAAAAGAAAAACTCTTAGTCTCTCATTGTTATCGGGAGATCATTGTTACAGGAAGATCATCGTTACAGGAAAATCATTGTTATTGGAAGATCACTGTTACAGGAAGATCATTGTTATTGGAAGATCACTGTTACAGGAAGATCATTGTTATTGGAAGATCACTGTTACAGGAAGATCACTGTTACAGGAAGATCATTGTTATTGGAAGATCACTGTTACAGGAAGATCATTGTTATTGGAAGATCATTGTTACAGGAAGATCATTGTTATCTGGAGATCATTGTTATTGGAAGATCACTGTTACAGGAAGATCATTGTTACAGGAAGATCATTGTTACAGGAAGATCATTGTTATCTGGAGATCATTGTTATTGGAAGATCATTGTTACAGGAAGATCATTGTTACAGGAAGATCATTGTTATCGGGAGATCATTGTTATCGGGAGATCATTATTACTCCAAAAATAACTTCATTTTTTTTTATACTTTCAACACCAAAATGTCTTCTGGATAAATTTTATAAACCAATCAAAATGCGATGTGACTGAATACACTTCTGCAGACACAAGCATTTGATTAGGAAGAAAATGTACCTCACGATTCAATGTTTCACGAGCTTCCTGTTCCACGAATGCCACCTACTTACGGTGAACTATTGTGTCCATGAAAGAATAAGTCGAAAAACGTTGAACTTGGTACCAGGAACTAACATTTTTATGTGAACTTTCCTTGTGGACACATTTTTAATCTTTGGATCGGAAACTGTCTCAACCCCCCCCCCCCCATGTCACGTAGCACAACGAGATGTCATCTTTATGTCAAGAAAACGACTTTGCTGGTTGGTTGTATCGTCTGCCAGAGCAGGTCAGCTCTTAACTTTTTACCCTAAGGCGTTCTTCCAACACTGTCAAACTTACGTAGTGTGTTTTTGTGGGGGAGGGGGTAACTTCTTTTTTTCAAGGTATCTGATAAAGTGTAACGTCTTTATTGCCCACGTTTTAGAGAAGAGGATGGCTGCCTGGTCGTATGATATGCGCTCTGGACTGTCATCTCGATGTTCCCTGTTTCAAACCCTGCCCGCCGCCATCCCCTCACCGTCCTGTGGCTGGTTTGGTCTAGGATGAACTAATCTTCAATTCTGAGGGAATATCCGAGTCACGTGCAAGAGCTGCTCAAGTATCAATTAGTATCTAATAAAATTAGATGTGACTTTTTTGTTTGTTTGTGAAAGAATGACTTTATTTCCTGCTATAAGAACACCTGTTATTGATCACATGATTATAAAATTGGTATGGTCTTTGATTTGGTGGTTGGTTTAAAAAAAAACCCAACACTTTCACGACACCAAGAAATCCTTTAAAAATGAAGAGAAAAAATGTAGAGCTGAGCTGAATGATTTTTTTTTATTTTTACATTTCTCTTGTTTCAATAGTTCAAGTAAATGATCTCTCCACTTCTGAAGAGAAACAGATTTAGACAATGGTAATTGCTCACTTGAACTTGCTGAAGTTGGTCATTCCCATCGATCAAGTCTCTCGAGTGTCTGATTGACGAACAAATGAAACTGGTTCAGACGTTCTTCGGCTATGCGTTGTAGTGGACAAAGATTTAGTTCAATTTTGTTTCTTCGGCCATTTATTTTCAATGTATCATCATCTTTCCTTTATGTTCCTCATGCCACCACTCTCCACGGTTTCTTTGCTAATTTTTTTAATGCTCTCCCAGCTCTTTCCTGTCCTCTCGGCTTCATCTAGTACACTGTGTCGCCCACGTTCTTTTTGGTCTTCCTCTACGTCTTGTGCCCTGGGGTAAACACTCTTAGACCTGTCTGGTATCTTTTCTAAGGAGTGACCAATGCATCTTCATTGTGTCTCTAAGATTTGCACTTCTATATTTCTCTGTCCACCCACCTTTCACAGTTTGGTGTTTTCTATTTTCAATTTATGCTGTAGAGAAAAAAAAAGGATTATATTATTGATAGAAACAAGAAATATTCCCCAGCCTTGACATTTCTATTACCTTTGACATTTACCTAACCTTTACATTTTTTCTAGACCTTGACATTTCCTTAGCTTTTTTCTGATATTCAGATTATTTAGAAGAGGAGGAAAAAGCAAAGGTGTCTCTTACAGAACTTGCTATCTCTGGAGGCAGATGATTATAAGCTCACCTTTTCTATGGTTGACGGTTAACGAGGGTTTCATGTGGCCAAAACAACGACTAACCCCCGGCCCTCCCTCCTCTAAAGTGTGTCAACTACCTACTAGAGGGGGGGGGCGTCCTAAAAATTCCGAGGTTCAAAATCCCAGTCTTCATTAAGATTCGTACTTGAGACCCTCTGTGGTAAGTTAAACGCTTTATCACCTGGGCCACCCACACCTCGTTATGTCTGATGACTTAAATCAGACAAGGTCAGTTCATTTCACGCAACTATGAATACTTAAGACAAACTCTTCTCGTTTGGTAGAATCGACCTGTTCAGTTAAACAAACATAGTATGACCGAGATTTGTTATAAATACATACAATGAATGACTAGAAATATACAAATTTGTTATAATTCAATTTAGCCAAGTAAAGTTTAATTAACAAAGCTATATTGGCGTATAAGAACAAACTGTATGTATATGCTAACAATATATATGTGTGTATATACATTTTCTTTAATGGAACAATTCGCACATTCTGAGTTTTTAGTGGAAAACTGCCTACTTTTTAGAGATTAATGCCCCGCCTATTAGTTAATTATTCCAGCAGTTCGTGGAACACTTTTTCAAAACCTAGCGGAATACTAGGGCCCCGTGGTACACAGTTTGGGGAAACACTGATGTAGATACTATGTTAAACAACCAAAGTGCACTCAGTATGTTTTTGTTGAGTATAAAACACTTGAGGTCGGATCACAGTGCACCGAGAAACTTAACTTTTCGATTTTCACAATACTCCATCTATTTTGACTTTACAAATCATTTATTTCAACAGAAATTTTGTCGGTTTACACACACACATTGATTGAAGACTTTAATAAGCGTCTGGGTTGTGGTTGTGTCTGGGTTGTGTCTGCATATGAAAGTGAGAGAACTAGTACATGCCCTGATTCAAGTTGCTCCTTGTACAGGGGAAGGAGGCCCTCGAAACACACTTTCCAATTTCTTTGACGCGCTCCAAGGGAATAGTCTCAGCACGTCGCTCGTCACAAACAGGTTTTGAGATCAGATCAGGAGTGTAACCGAAAGTCCCATTGAATCTGTTTCATATAGAGCTCAGCTTAGTGGCCCACTTCACATTCACCTATCTCTTAATCTGTTAAACCGCTGGGGCACCTCACAAGATCTGTTAACTGTCTTTCTCCATTCCTCTCTTTTGCTTTGGATAGAATTTCTTTCAATGACAGACCTGTCCATTTTTTTTTTTTACATTGTCTTCCCATCGTCCTCTGTCACTTGTATAAATAGGCCTTCCACATACTTAAATCCGGCCCTGCCTTCTTCTGTCTTGGTTTCGCTCAGGCTTGGATCATGGGTTGTCCACGCTTCCTATCTTGACTATTGACCTTGCCAGTGTTATCGAATGGAATGCTCCTCAATACATTTGGTATCAACTTAGATGATGCATCTGACGAATAGAATATCATAGTTTATAGTTCAGATGTTCCACTCCTGATTTTCCCTTGAGGTTGCTTCTTGAAGAAAAAATAATATTTGCGTCAAAGCATGCAACAAACACAGATGTGCCAACAGATGTGAAGAGACAGGATGGGGGGTCACGGGGTGTGACCACTTATTAAAGCTCGAATCGTTTTGGGGAGACGTTTAGAGAGGGTTGGTATTGTGGTTGACATTTCTTTACAGTAGAATACGCACAAGTCCCACTGAAGGTTGAAACGAGTTTTGAGATTTATGAGAAAAACCAAATCTCTCACCAACTATTTGATGTGGCGAAATCATTTTCTTTTGTTTTGAGTTGTCAATGCTAAATACACACACACACACACAAATAATAAAAATAAAAACAATAAAACAAAAGGTAACGAACAAAAGGTAACATGGTACCATTTTTTTTTCACTAATCAACGGTAACAAAAATACTTCCAACTGCACGCTATTTGAGCGATTTAAAGATCAAGTAACAGTGTAAATGATGCGTAATAAAAGTTTAGAGTTAAGAGACACCCTGTCCGACGGGGGGGGGGGGGTGAGACTCGGGGGTTAAACTTAGAGTTTGACTTTGCGTTCACTTCCAGTGGACACGGACACTCCGGACTCGCGGACTAGAGACGCGGGCGAAGGCCGCACCACTGGGACCCCTTCGTGTTCCTATAATCTAAAAGGCTAACTGCACTGTGAAACAGCCCCTTGAGCAACGGCGCCTGGACGTTGACAGATCGCTGTGGGAGATATTCTTCATCCCCGCACAGTGCAGTGAGGATACTCTCGCACCCTCTTAGGCGGGAGCCTTGTTTCGCCACCCATTTGGCCTAGTCGTCCCCTCTCTCGACAGTTTCCACCCGAGCGCCATGATGAGGCAGGGCAGCAAGCCCGGGTCTACACCAGCAAGAAAGTTATATGACGCCAATACTAAGGTCTATATCATCAAGAAAGTAAGATGGCGCCAATACTAAGGTGTACATCATCAAGAAAGTAAGATGGCGCCAATACTAAGGTCAACAACAGCGATAAAGTAAGATGGCGCCAATACTAAAGTCAACAAAAGTGAGAAAGTACTTAGGTCTACAACAGCGAGAAAGTATAATGGCGCCAATACTTAGGTCTACAACAGCGAGAAAGTATAATGGCGCCAATACTTAGGTATACAACAGCGAGAAAGTATAATGGCGCCAATACTTAGGTATACAACAGCGAGAAAAAAGAAGGAGCCAAGACTAAGGTCTACAACAGCGAGAAAGTTATATGACGCCAATTACTAAGTCTACAACAGCGAGAAAGTTATATAACGCCAATACTAAGTCTACAACAGTGAGAAAAAAGAAGGAGCCAAAACTAAGGTCTACAACAGCGAGAAAGTAAGATGGCGACAATACTTAGATCTACAACAGCAAGAAAATTATATGACGTCAATACTAAGTCTACAACGGCGAGAAATTTATATGACGCCAATACTAAGTCTACAACGGTGAGAAATTTATATGACGCCAATACTAAGTCTACAACGGTGAGAAATTTATATGACGCCAATACTAAGTCTACAACGGTGAGAAATTTATATGACGCCAATACTAAGTCTACAACAGCGAGAAAGTAAGATGGCTTCAATAAAATTGAAACGCTTGTTTGCACTTTAAAAAAAACAACCAAAAAACTCCGATCCTTGTATCTATAAATAGCTTTTCATATTTCTCACGAGCACGATGAAGGTCGTGTTGACATTTTACCAGCATAATTAGCGCCAGAAAAAGAGACACTGTTACAAACCTGTCTTCAGTGGCGACGCAAGACAATAAAACATTGTCATCACATAATAATGGTTCTCAAACTTTCAAACTGATGAGTGAAAACAGCTCTGAAAATGAATGAATGGTGAATTAACCTAAAGAAAGCCACAAATAGCTTTGCGTCATGGCGAGAGGAACCAACACCTCAACGTGAACTGGACTTCATCAATTGAAAGATTTTCAAGTCTCTTTGTCCTCCTCCCCCCCCCCCCCCCCCAAAAAAAAATAATTTTTTAATAAAGTAACAAGGTTTGGATCAATGAGAAATGTGTTCTATACCAGTAGCATAGTAGCCAGCAGTGTCTTTATATGTTTCACTGCAGTCCGATATCTTAGCACGAATACTCTTAAACTCATCGTTTTAAGGCTTTTCAAAATACAACAATCTACTCTTCCATAGACTCAGTATGACCTTTTATTTTTAACGTCCAGTGCTAAGCAGGAGGGCAACAAGTGGGATGGGTGAATTTAATCAAGGAAACAAGAAAAAACATAAAAATACTTTAAAAAAAAAAAAAAAAAAAAAAAGCTTATACAAAGTGTAATTGTATCAATTAGTTTGGATCAGTCATGTCATTATGTTTGCTATAGAGTTAGACCAACATCATTAAAACTGTGCCAATTGTTTCTGTTTAACGCTTTTTCATGCTTGTAGCCATCTCAATACGCCATGATCCTATCACTTATCTGTAACAAGTTGGGAAAATGAAAAAAAAAACGGGGGGGGGGGGGGGGGGGGAAACAAAGGGACATCTGGATGAATTTTACCGTAATGACTTTTTAACTCTCATGACTCACGCCTACTCAAGCCGACATACTAACCTCTCTGCTAGTGTGGTGTTTATGAAAATAGAAAATTGTATATTTATCTATTGTTTGTTTCAAACTTACTTTATAGCGGCGACCTATAATGGCGACTAATTCAGCTTATACCTCCACCTCAGTCAAGTACAATTTCTTTTCTTTGTTCGATATACCAAACAAAAAAAACAAACTCCAATAGTTAACCCTTAATGCGCGTGTGGTAGTTTAGCTTCCAAACATTAGAATTGTAATTCCATTTTGTATGCACTCACTGTAAAACAGCTCAGCACTTTAAGGGTTAATTAACAATTTGGTTATTTTTTAAAATGGATTCTTGTGTAGTCAGGTAAAAGAAAAATTTTGCAAAATTTCAACTTAATCCGAGTTTGGGTGTCGAAGAAATAACGTGTACAAACTTTTTACCAGACAGACAGACAGAGTGAGTTGATATAAGCTTTGTAAAAAAAAATTGTTTCGCCCTGGTTCTGTTTAGCAGCAGACTTGTGATGCTGGCGTGTTTGTTGTTACCTAGCTCTATCTAACTAGTTTTGTCACCATTTCTCATGTCATACATTCTTAACATCGACTCGCCTAATAAAACATGAAAGAATTGTTACAATGAATGAAACTAATCACAGAAAAGAAAATTGTTTGTGTGTGTCGATGTATGTGTTCTGGTCACTGTATTGTAATGAGTGGGCTCTGTAGTCTGTGATGAACTCATGTATAGGTTAGAGAGGTGAGTTCAAATCCGCACTCATTAGGGAGTACTTAAGTTGATAGAGTAGACTTACTCACTATAATGTGACTGAACAAACTCTATATCGGGGATATAGTCTTCTGTCGGTAGCTGTATGTTGCTTTTAATAAGTCTAGTTCCCAACTCTGTATTTATTTCATGTAACGTCTGTATTTATAAGATAAGATAAGACATGCTGTAATAACCTATCGTCCCAGCCAATATTCCTGTGCCACATCGTTCATTAACATTACTCGTTTGGTATGGTGCCAAAATGTTCACTTTGGGTGTCAGGGTTAATCTTTGTAGGGATGTGTGTGTGTGTCTCTCGCGGCTCTTTCTACACTATGGTTTAATATCTTTCTTCTTATCTTAAAAAATACAAAAATGCATTTAGTCATGTATATTAACTAATGACCTAACTTCTGCCAAGTCACTGGTTTTCCTGGCTAGCTCAGGCAACCCATTCTATGCTCTAATAGCACTAGGGAAGAAGGAGCATTTGTACAAATTTGTCCTAGCATATGGAACGAGGAATGTGCCTTTATCTTTGTGTCTTTCTAAGTATTTTATTACATTTTGTTTGTGTATTTGAAGATTATGATTCAGTGTTTTATGTATAATTGCTACTTTACTTTTAAGTCTTCTGTCCTGTAGGCTTTCTAAATTTAGGGATTTTACTAAAGGTGTTACTCTAGTCAAATGGGAATATTCGTTTGTTATGAATCTCACTGCTCTATTTTGTGTCTTTTCCAGTTTCTTAATGTTTTCTTGAGTTGAGGTGTCCCAAACAGAGGATGCATATTCTATTATTGGCCTAACCAAGGTTAATATGAACGTATTTTAATGCGACTTCCTTACATCAGGTGTATACTCGCCTTGTGGAGGGAGAGTGGCCCTTGAGGGACTGCAGGCACGACATGGTCTAAATTGTGCCGATGTGCCCAAAATCAAAATCAAATCAAACCTTGTGGTCTACTCAAATGGAATCATCTTATAAAGCATATCTAAGCCATACACAGAAGAGTGTAAAAATCTAGACTGCAAATATTGGTTCTAAAACAGTAATCTAATCCATTCGCTTTAGTGCCCTGAAATGATAGACCCACTCCAGTCCGTAAATATGGCGAAATCCTGTTTTAAACCTAATTAGGCGACTCGAGTACACTACTAATAATACAATGCCAATTAGTTTCATTTTATGTACTTTAAAAAAAATTAGTTTAACTTTATGGGTCTCAGATTTATGTTTCAAACAAAACATTTTTTAAAGAAAATTTGATTTGAAATGTTAATAAGGTGTAAAAAAATGTTTTAAGGAATGAGCTTTTAGCATTTGTCTTTTACAAAGCAGTCCACTAATTAATATGGTTTTGTTTTAACTAAAAATTTGAGCATTGAATTTTTCGGTAATAAAAAACATTTTGCAGAAGGGAAAAGTGGCCTGGTCTCAAATGTCCAATGTCAAGGCTGGGATTTTCAATTAGGCATTTAGGTTGATGATTTAATAGGTAGTTTTGGCATTCCTATATTTTGGAAGGGACAAGTGATGTCAAGGAGTATTAAATAGTATTGATTAATTCTCAGCCTCCAGCGATGTTTAAGTATTTTGATCTTGATCAAATCACTCAATTATGAAATTATGATTTTAGTGATTTAAAAAAAAATAAAAACCCTACTGTTCTATCGGGATTGAAGATTTAAAATAAAATCATTAACAGAATAAAATCATATTTGATTTTTTTTTCTTTGTAGTGCTTGTTCTTCAATTACCCGCCCCCCCCCCCCACCTCCTTTGCACCTCTGGGAGAGGCCCAACTGATTTATGACAACGGATACAGTACACCAGGGTCCATTTTTCCTCTTCAGTGAGTCAAAGAAGGGAAAAAAAAACATTAGCTTCGCCTCTGCTTTTCCTATTTTGACAAGTAGCCACTGGCTATATCCATTTAGCTTTGACGACCCTTTTCCAGGTTATTCTGACCTTGTTATGTGACATAACACATCCCTGACACTATGCTATTTTTAGCACATTTGTTAATACTAAAAGTGTAACAACTTCCATATTGTTTTTGAGATATTTTTTAATTGACAAAAAAAAAAAAAGAAAAAAAAAACTCCTTTTTGAGACAGGTTCAATTTTAACTTTCAATTTTAATCATTGCGAAATTCTATTTTACTTTGACGTGAGGTCTCGGCTCACAGCTGCCTAGATCTAACTTTGACTATAGCACAGTGGTTATTGCCCGAGAGTGTGGCATAAAATTGGTGGCACTGTGTTTGCATGTGTCACACGATACCACTTCCCTGATACTTGCTCAGAATAAGATAAGCTTTCCACTTTTCAACTTTGCACCCACATCATTATAACGCCCTTACATAAGCCTCCCCCCCCCCCCCCCACCGGTGTCCATAG